GCCCCTCTATTTGCAGATAAAATTGCTTTTTGAATTAAGAAACAAATATTCTCTGTAGATGGTAATTTGCTTTTATGTTTTAGAGGCTAGAGTACAGCAGCAAGATCATACATAGCTCACTGCAGCCTGGAGACCTGCCTCAGCCTCCCAAGTAGGTAGGACTACAGGTCCTACTACCATGCTTGGCTAATTTTTATAATTTTTGGTACAGATAGATTCTCACTATATTGCCCAGGCTGGTCTTGAACTCCTGGCCTCAAGCAATTGTCCCACCTTTGCCTCCCATATTGCTGGGATTAAAGACATGACTCACTGTGCTCAGCCTGTAGATGATTTTATTAGCAAACCCTAAAGGTCCAACCCCATGACTGGGGACAGAGTTACCAATTTGGAATTATGGACTGATAGGAATGGCACACGGCCAACCCTCTCATTTCACAGCCACAGAAACAGGCAGAGAAGGGGAGTGGTTTGTTCCAAGTCACCCAGAAAGCCCTACCATTATCATATAGATTAAGCTCTTCCACAGCGTGAGCACAAGTCTGCTTGGAAAAGTCACCTTCTTTATTACCTTGACATGCACCCAAGAGATGGCCTATCTGTTTGCCAGCCTGTGGCCCAAGCTGGTATTTCACTACCTAATATTCACTCCTGATCAATAGGAAAAGTAAACAGTGACCCAAATCTCCAGACTTGACCACAATATTCAAGCTTTGGAGGCAAGGGAGAGATGTGGACACCCACTGCCAAAGACTGGATTCCAAGGAGGCAGACCCCTAGACGGAGTTTAGTGTGCAGAATGCTTGTTCCACCTGGGGAAGGGTGGGGAGCAGGTGTGAGCCCAGGGAGAGCCCTCCTTCCCCACCACTCATTGGACGTGGGCTGTCTGGGACCTCAGACGAGGTGGCTCTACTAGCAGAAGACAGTCTGTTGACAGCACTCCCAGCAGCTGGGACAATCTCTTCCTTGAAGGGGGGAACACATCACAGTGACCACCAAACACAGAAAGAACTTAAAAATAATAATTCAGTCGTAGAAGGTGAGGACAAAGATAAGACTCATAGAACGCTGGCAAAGGCTTACCTTCAGGACCAAGGGTTCTGATGTTTTCCAGACACAGGCCATGCCCTTTGGAAATCCCATCAGAGAACCCCGAGACGCCCAGCAGGGATCTTTGTGTGACCTCAGTTCCTAGGAGCTACCCACTGTCCTCAGCAGAGGGGCAGTCCTGGTAGGGTATGTCAGCCCACCTGTGTCCTCCCCAGCCCCGTCATCCAAGAAAACTGAATGCAGCTCAAAGCGCAAACTTGACATTGCTAAATATGACTACACCTGGAGAGATCTGGTTCCATTCTGGGGAATTTACTCCTCCGCTGCCACTTGAGGGCACAAGGCATGTCTTCTCTTCCCTAGAAACCAGTAGACAGTGCTCTTTTTGGTAGCACGTATGCCAAAATCGGAACGATACAGAGAAGATTACCATGGCCCCTGCGCAAGGATGACATGCAAATTTGTGAAGCATTATTTAAAAAAAAAATTAGAAAAGAAACCAGTAGATAAAGGGGCTCTTTACATCTCGGCTGAATGAATGAAGGTCAGAAAAAAAATCGGCAACTTCTCTTCCTTACAGTTAGGGAACAGTCAGGCTGGGAGAACCCACAAAGAAAATCACATCCCAATTCTGCCAGTGAGTGAACGGAGCCCCAGAGGCAGGAACTAACCGATCGAAGGCTGTACAGGAGGTGAGGAACTGAAACAGGCCCAAACATTGACAAGACTGGTGATCCCAGTGTAGTTTTTCTGCAGTAGAGATTTCACTTCTAGCCTGTCTTTCCCGTGGGCTCTGGGGCTCCCCCTCTGTCCAAACCATCTGGGCTGAGAGAGACAAAATCCAGGTACATTGGCATCTAAGCAAACTATGCTGACAAAGCAAGCCCCGTGCATACAAAGGACTTGTGATTATTTACAGCTGTGTCTCCCTCTGGTCACCCAGATGCTTGTGTCTTCTGTCAGGACTCTTTCGGACTAATGGCAGAGAGCCGACAAGAACCCAGCACAGTTGCGACTGCAGAAGTGGCATCTGCTGGGCTGAACAGTCCAGATGAGGAAGTGGAGTGAAAAGAGCTCATTGCAGAGTGACCTTGGGTAAATCATTTCACCTCCCCAAGCCCAGGTTCCCCACTTGAAAAATAGGAGCTGTCATTCGTGGTCTGCCACGTGACGGCACTTCACTCGCTGCTAGAGATATGTCAGGTGTTCATCAGTAGCAGAGAGTCCATCCCGCTGATATGGAATACCTTGCTGGGTTCAGGCATTGGAGGCCACAGTGAACGTCACTGCTCTTGGGGGGATGTGGTCACAGTCTGAGAGGAAACTGGTGAAATCAACACATTGGAGCTCAGTTCTCCTGGATGGAGCTGGAGCCCATTCTTCTAAGTGAAGCATCACAAGCATGGAAAAACAAACGCCACATGCACTCACCATTAAATTGGTAGTAATTGATCAACACTAACGTGGACATATGGGAAGTAACATTCATAGGGTGTGGGGCAGGTGGGAGAGGGGAGGGGGGATGGATAAATCCACACCTAACGGATGAGGTGCACACTGTCACAATTTAACAGCTTGCAAGCATCATTTTTAAAATGAAACAATAGAATTAAAGAGAATACATATTTGAGTGCATAAGAATTGTTTCATAAAACATATATACATACATACACATAAATACACATATTTACACACACACATATATATTCCCCATCATGGGGCATGGACTGAAAGAATTTGAAAGCTGCTATTCTCAGGCAGTGTTTCTCTAAAGATGGTTGTAAGGAGCGTTTTACTAACTTTAGTAATTTGCCAACCACTGTCACCATTTTAGCCATATCAGAATACCACTTGTACCATTACTTACTGAATACTCGTCTTTGAGTTGGCTCACTTTAACCATTTTAGTAGCCTCATTGTAACAGCAATATTCAGAACATTTACATTTAAAACTACGTATTTTCTTTTTTCCCTATCTAAACCGTGTCCCAAAAGAGCACCACGTTTTGGGAAACGCTGGTGGCAAGGAGTGTCGTGCAAAAGCACTTTCCCAAAATAGAGCTGGGAGCCAGAAAAGCTGTGTGACACTGAGTGAGTTCCAACCCCTCTCTGGGTCTCTTTCTACCCCTGGAGGCAGGCCTAGTCCCATTGCCCAGCTTTCCAAGTTCTTGTGGTTGGCCTTCCCACAGTGGTCACCTCAAGTAGCAAAGGACAAGCCCTGTCTGCTTGCACACTGGCTTGGGATCTTTCTTGGGATATAACCACCAGTGGAGGAGGCCAGGGCTCTGTATCTGCCTTTTTCTCTGAACTGCGTCCTGCTGCTGCCCCAAATTTGCAGAATTTCCTTTCTTGTCCAGCTTTGATTCCATTGATGGGATTAGGCGCCCCCCACGGCCATGTCCTTTGATGTGGTCAGGGGGTAGCAGGGAGATTTCAGGCCCAGGGAGCAAATCTTAATCTTCTGCTGGCTTCTCTGGGATCGGCACTGGGTAAACCCATTACATCCCTGCCCTTTCATCCCCCCAGGACACCGGCTCCTCCAGGCTCCTCGAGTCTCAGAGATCCTAAGCGTTTGTCAGATTTAGAGCAAGCAATAAAAGGGGAAGAGAAAGCAGAGCAGGAGCTCCAGACCCCCTCCAGCACCGGCAGCATCACCAGAGATGTCAGGGCATCTTCTTCTTTCTTCCCATATAATCCTGGGCTCTCACAAAACGGGGATTACAGAGGCCTTGGGCCAGCGACGGCCCTGCCTGGCCACTGGGCGCCTCTGCCAGCACCTGGTTGCCATCTGCCCTCTATTCCTCCCCCAGCTGATTTTTGGGCAGCACCTGCTTCTGCACAGCCGTCTTTCCTGCCCAGGGACCTCCCTGTGGGCGTGTAGGGGGCCCAGCAGTTTAGCAGATAAACCACTCAACCCTCACCCAGTGAAGTTTTAAGGCATATTTGGGTTAGTAAGGCCAGGAAAGCGAAGGCAGGCACATAGCGGATATCTATGTCAGACCACAGATATGTCATATTATTTTGTTTAAATTAAATGATTCCAAGGCTCCACCTGAAGAGAGGTGGGGAAGCAGCCTCAGCGGTTATTTGGGCTTCCCCGTCACCCTCTCCCGCGGTCCCCCGAGCCCTGGCCCCCTTGAGGCTGGAGATCTCGGCAGGGGCCTGTGGATGGTCCAGTCAGATCCCAGATGCGACACGCAGTTGCTCCCCCACGTCCAGGCTGAGAGACAGAGATTGGGGCGGCAGGTTCCCACCGACAGGATTCCACTGACCTTCGACCCCTCTCAATCTCGGGACAGCCAACCCTTAGCTTCGCAGCTTTTCTGTCCCCCTCTACCACCGCAGTCCCCCCAAAGGAACTCAGCTTTTCAAACAGAGCAGCCAGGAGAGGCTGTCTGCAGGCAGCTGGAACTGGGAGTTGAAAACACAATCTCAACGTCTCAGGAAAGCATGCCGCCGGCACTATGCTTGGCGCTTTACGTTCATTATCTCGCGGGTTCGCCACCACGGCGCTGCGGGAACGCTCCAGGTTCCGGATGGGAGGCGGAGGGCGGCGGCGGGCGCCCCACCCGCGGGGGCGCGGCCCGGAGCGGAGCGGCCGGCAGGGGGCTCCCCGCGCCGGGCTCCGCGGGAGGAAGCGCTGGCAGCGGCTCGGACGGGTCAAAGGAGGAAAAGGGAAAATTACTGGGCTCGGGGGTGGGAACGGCTGCGTGACCGGGAGGAAGGCACTCGAGACTGTCGGGTCGGGCCCCAGCGTCCGGACCCCATCCCCGGGGCGGCGCGGGCAGCCCAGGACCGAGGCGGCCAGGCGCCCCCGCCCCCGCCCGGTCTCCGCTCGCCGGTGCCGCAGGCTGGAGCGGGCGTCGCAGCCGGGGGCGGCGCCGCCGAGGCGGGCGGAGGGGGCCGGGGCGGGGCGCCGTCCGCTTGGCTCCGGGAGGCGGTGCGGGCGGGCGGTGACCGCGTCCGCCCGCCGGGAGCCGCGGGGCGCGCAGCCTTCCTGATGTGTCACCAGCACGTGGAGCCAGGTCGGGCCGCGCTAGCGAGCGGAACCCCCCAACTTTCGAGGGGTCTCGCCTCCTCGCTCCTCTCCCCGCTGCGCCGGGCTCGCTCTCCTTGGGGAAGGGGCGGCGGTGGTCCCCGGGTCCGGCAGGTCGAGCGACGCCACGGCCCCGGCCAGGCGCGCGGGGCGCCCGGAACGTCGGGGCGGGCGGCCGGGCTCGCGGCTGCGCTCCCGGGCCCCGCCCGGCTCGGCTTCGGCGGGGCGGAGGGCGCGGCCTGTGGCGGAGGCGCCCCCGCGGCCCGCCCCGGCGCACCCCACCGCGAGCGGAGCGCAGGTAACCCGGGCGGCGCGGACCGAGCGGGGCCTCGCGGGCGCGGCCTGGGAGCGTGGCGAAGTTTCTCGGCGCGTAACTCTTCAGCTCGGGTGGGGCTGCGGTGGGCAGGCTCTGTCCCCGCACCTCCCCCACCCCTCACTGCCCCTCGGCCTGCGCCGGGGCGGCCCGGGGGTGGCCTGGAAGCCGCCACGCGCGCCCGCGGCCGGAGGTCGGGTGGGGCGGGTGACTTCTCTGGGGGACGCCGCTTGGGGGAAACCCAGAGCCTCGGCGGAGCGGAGCGCCCCGCAAAGAGCTGGCAGCCGGACCCAGCCTGAGGAAGCCCGTCGGGGGCGCGCCGCACCCCGAACTCCGAGACGGACGGGAGCTGAGGGCTGGGTCTTTGCGGGCGAGATGAGGTGTCGGATCAACTGGCCTACAAAGTCCCAGTCCTCGGCGCCCAGCACCGGCGTCTGCTCCACGCTCCTCGCCCCAGGCCGGCTTCCTCTGGGCCCGCGTGCGCTCCGCCGGGACTGCCACCTCAGGGACTGCCACCTCAGGGCCACGCTGGAGAACGGGTGGCGAGGCGCGTTCGCCGCTGGCTGTGTGCGCGCGGAGTCGAGAATCCTGCACTTCGCAGGAGAAATGTGGGCGCTCGGAAGGGTGAGCCGGTCTCTGCGTGCGGTCCGGACCCTTCCGGCAGAGCCCGGTCGCCTCCTGGGCGACGTGGGGTGCAGGGAGAGAGACGACTCCCCACTCCCCGACGGGCCGAGCCCAGTCACCAGGACCTGCCCTGCTCCGCTTTCCAGGGCGGCAACCTTGAGCTTGGGGGTGGGGAGGACAGAGCCTGACTTCTAGAGTTGACTTCTAGAGCTTTCGAGGTGGGATGAGGTGTGGAGGTTTGGCCCCTGTGGAGTGAGAAGCGCCTGTCCCTCCCCCCCACCCCCCCACACCATTTCTTTAAAAATGGATCTCTGTGGACGTGTTCCTAATGGCTAGACTTTTGTTCCTTGACAAATGCAACATAATGCTGACCCGCGCCAGTCCTCTTCAGGTTTTATGGTGGAATTCCCTTCTTCCTTAAACGCTCTATTCCTTTAATAGGTTTGCTTCTACTCCCCGCCCCCCAAAGAAAAACCCCACCAGCCCCTGAAATCTCGGGTTTATCTGGTGTTGCAACTTTTTGGATTTTTTGTTTGTTGTGTTTTGGCTGTCTTGGCAGGGAGGACTGTGAAAAAACATTTCAGGGACACGCAGTGAGGTGACTTGAACTGTGTGAATGGCAGGTGGACAAAATAGGCCACCTCTGGCCCCCTTCTTCCTTGGCTTTGGCAAGCAGGAGAGGTTTCTAGAAGCAGGGAGGAGGGAGAGGGAGAAACCAGCCTGGCTAGGTTGGCCCACCTCTGGCCAGGTTGTGTAAAGACTCATTCGAGAGGCATTTTTTTCCCCCACAGGCTCCAGACCTCTGTGGGCCACGTGTAGAGTAGTCCTTGCAGGCATCCTGCCCATGCCACTGTCCCTGTTTGGTGACATGTGGGTCTGGAGCAGGGCGAGCCACCTGTGTGGAGAGCAGTCAGGGTCACTGAGGCAGAATTGGGCCTGGGAGCCCAGAAAGGGGTATAGCCCTATCCTGCAGTTGGCCTGAATTTTGTCCGTGGAAGCTTTGTCCTGCAGGCTCTAGTCAGTGGGACCTGCAGATGCCAGAATTATGGGAGAAAAGAAAAGTTTCTGTGGCCATGAAGTAGATTTCCAAGCATCTTGACAAATTGTTAGTTTTGAGGTGACATCCCCTAGGAATGGAACTGATGGGAGGTTCGACTAAAGACCTTTCCCCTAATTAAGAAAAATGCTCTCTTCCGAAGCACCAAATCAAGTTGGGAAAACAAAGTTCTCCCTTCAAACCAGCGCCTCTCCCAGCCCTGGGGATCAGTATAGAAGAGTAAATGAGATGGAAATCTTCCGAATATTGTGTGGTCACAAACATCCCAGAAGTGCTGGAGCAATGAGATATGGAAAAGCAGGCCCAGCTGGCCACTTTGCACCTACCCCATAGGGGACAGGCTTGGGGACAGGGAACATAAATCCCAGGGAATAAGGATCCCTGCCCCGCCCCAGGCCTGGCTACAGGCGGGCCGTTTTCCCTGTGGCTGTGCCCCATTCTTTCTGTGTCTGGCCAGGGCTGTATGGATTTTTAGGAAATGACTTGGTACTTCATTGCTTTGGGGGAAGTGGGTGATTAGGTTTTTCCTTCTTGGGGTTTTCCTTTGCACAACGTGATTGAATCAGCCATGCGGTGGGCTGGGCTAGCCTGGCTTGGAGCGGCTGACTTATACTTTGATTTAAGCTGTTGTATTTAGGAATAGTGTTTTAGTCGAGGGCTTTTTGATTTTCCTCTGCTTTTTGAATTCTCAGTTTTCTGGAGCAGATGTCTTGCCCCTATCCCCATTTCCAATACACCCTTCAAAGGTGAGCACCTCAAATCTTTCTCTTCCTTTTGAGGGGAAGTGGCTTGAACCTCAGACTTGTTTGCCTGGAGCCTTCTTCAGGAAGCAGCTAACTGCAAGGTGGAAAGCTGGCGGGAGGGGAGGGATTTTAGCCAGAGCCCCAGGGAGACTCCTAAACTCCACCATCCAGGCCTCCAGGTCCTGCTTTCCGGGAGGAAACTTGCATTCCCTCAACTCTTAAGTAAATTACAGCCTGGTGAATAATTAACCTTGCCCCTTCTGGCTTTTTTTTTTTTTTTAAAGAAAAATAAAATCCCCGATCTCTGGATGATTAGAGATCAGTTTTTGTCCAGCAGGATTGGAATGACAAAGGAAGTATGGGGAGAAGCAGAGCCTCTCATCTCCACCCCCAGCAGGTCCTAGAGACTGGAAGTTCTGATACTTAGAAGGAACCCCTCCAGGGTTTCACTGGTGGCCATCCCTGCCTGGCCTCTGAGGCTGCCTCCCCGGGTCTCCTCTGGCGCCTCTTTGCCTGAACCTGAGCTGTCTGAATCCTCCTTGGTGCTGAGGATTCTGTTCCCCACTTTGTCTAGCGACAGCTTGGCCCTTTATATTTCGAGGAGTTGATTCTGCTGCTGGGCCGTGCGCGGGCTGGTAAATATTTGGCCAGACTCAGTTCTTTCACACAAAAGAACAGGGCTCCTAATCTGTGATAAGTCCCAGAAAGAGAGTTGTCTTAGGAGAGAGGGGTCATTCTGGATTCCATGAAGGGTTTTTCTTTCAAAGCAATCCAGTGTGAGGGCCCTGAAGGTGAACTTTGCGTCCACATGGGCTTGCGTTCTAACTGCCGCTTGCCAGCTGGGTAGCTTTGGCCAAGTGACTTCTCTGTGCCCCAGTTTCTTCCGTTGTGAAATAAGGGTTATGATACCTACCTCGTAAGGGTGTGATAAGGCTTATGAAAAATGTGTGTAGAGTGCTTGGGACAAACCAGTAGATCTTCGACTGGCAGGCTTCATCCCCAGCTCTCTTACTTTGAGTCTTTGTGTGTTTGTGTGCTGGCTGAGAAGGGAGGTTGAAGGCAGGTTGAAGGCTGACTCCATTGCTTGCTAATATGTGGCCTTTGGCAAGTTACTTAACCCACTGGGAGCAGCAGTCTCCTAATCAGGAGGTAGGGATAATGTCTGAGAGTCCCTTCCCCTGAGCCTCAGTCCTCTCGTTTTTTTCTTGCACACCAACTATGTGTGCAAGGGACCTGGTGCCAAGGGACCAGGCCAGGCAGAGGCTGGGGCGACATCTGTGGGTAAGATGGGCATGATCCCTTGCTGCCCACTTGGATTTTTACCCCAGCTCTGGGAGCAGATGAGGGGCATTGGGAGTGCTTGTGGTACAGTCCAGGCTGAGACTCAGAGAGGAAGGGACTCTCCCAGAGTCTGACAGCTGACATTCAGTGCAGCAGGCGCCGGGACCTCCGGCCTTCTGTGTGCAGCCGCCCAGGTTGGGAGCAGGAGGTGGATGGGCCTGGATTAGCCAGCCGAGTCCTTAAAGGAACCCTGGTTTGCAGATGTGGCGGCCGTGCACATCTGCTCTGCAGTGCCTCCACTCTGAACAGCCCAAAGACTCTTCCAGTTCTGACCCCGAGCACGTTTCAGGAAAGGTCCCAAAAAAGGCATTTGGATTGCCACAGCCACTCCATGCTTGCTCACTCACTCACCCCGTGGGCGAGCCAAATTTCCTCTAGTAGGACCAGTCAAGCAGGGGACACAATTGAAAGGGGCTGGGGGAGGAGAAAATAATTGGATATTCCAAAATGTGCTGCAAAGTAATCATCATGGGGGGGGAATCAGAAATTGGTGGGACTTTGGCTTTTTTATGGCTCAGTGATGTTTTTACCTAGAACTTCAAACTGCAGGTGGGGATAGACTATAATCTTCTCAGTGCCTAAGAGCCTTTTGTTGTCCTCACTGGTCCTGGGCAGAGGGCAGAGCTCACAGGGCCCAGAGCAGGTGACTTCTTACCCAGTGCCATGCCCCCTCCCTCCTCCCTTTGGGGAATTTTGCAATCGGGCCCTGTAGCCAGCCGGGTTTGAGTTTGCTGCCCAGGAGAGCTGGGGAGAGCAAGCGGTGCCCTGTGGGAAGAGCTGCTGCCTGATTTCAATCTGAGCTCACTGCTCTGGTCTGAGAGCCCCCTTCTCTGTCTGGGCCGGGGTGACTGGACTGAATACACTGCAGCTCTCTTAGCTTTAGCATTCTTCTAAGATTCCGAGCAAGGAGG